TCCTCCTCCTTGAGGATGTATGCTTTCCGTCTACTCAAACTCTCACCATCACACCCAGTCAACCACGCTATCGACAAGCTCCTCAATACTCAAGCAACTGCAAGGAAAAAGAAGCCGGCAACTCCTCAACTACAGCGAATCCACCGCTCTATTAGCAACTTATACAACCTTGAAGACCTTGAGCAAATACACCACTTCCACTTCCCTCCATGGGAAAGAGAAACTCCTTACAAGGTTCACATTAGCAAACTTTCAAAAGAAGAGGAAGCTAAACTTCACCTTCGTCTACTCCAAAACAACTCAGATAACAGCATTTTCATCTACACAGATGCATCCTCTACAACAACAGAAAATAGCCAAGGAATTGGGGTAGGTTTGTCTGTAATCTCACCTCAATCAAACAGAATCCACTACGAAAAGAAAGTCAACATTGGACCAAACAAGCTCGTCTACAACGGTGAAGTTGAAGGGGCCACGCTAGCAGTTGAATACGCTGCCAAGCACGCTAGACCAGGGATCCATTTCCACATCTACTCCGATAACCAGGCAGGTTTACGGAGGCTAAAAACCACATCAGATAACCCAGGGCAAGAGTGCCAAATCAGAGCTATCACAGCTGCCCGGAAGGCAGTTAGCAAGGGAGCTACTACCACAATTCACTGGGTACCAGGTCACACCGACATTCCAGGAAATGAGAAAGCAGACAAGCTTGCAAAAGCCGCCACCACAATCCAACCATCCACTCAACTCACTAGCTTTGCTATGCTAGGAGTCAAGATCAGGCAGACCCAGAACAAAGAATGGCGTCAAAAGCTTACTACACCCCCCCGGCACACAGAACCATCAACTAACCAACACTCGTATCGAAGGGAATTCCCATGGAAGATTCTGTCGAAACCTTGCGTCCCCCAAGGAACAAAAAGAGAGATAGCCAGCGCCTTTTATCAGCTTAAGCTAGGCCATGGATACTTCAAATCATACCTACACAAGCTCGGCCACACTACCAACAACCGCTGTAGATGTGGAAGACAAGAGACTCCCACTCACCTCCTTCTTAGCTGTCCAGAAACTGGGGATGCTAGGAAAGTACTAAAGCGCAACCTCCTCAAGCATCATATTCGAGAGTTCACCATGAAATCCCTCCTTCACACCGCCAAAGGAGTCGAGGCCACACTTGACTTTATTCGAACCACCAAAATCGCCACTAGAATATGGCACACACAACGCGCAACTGAGGATGAGAACGAAGATGAGGACGAGGAAGACGAGGACGAGGAAGACGAGAACGAGGAAGTGTAGCGTACAGGGCGTGAAACGAGGGGGCGTACTACAACATAACAACTTTTCTTTTGTCATAACCAGAAGCCTAGCTGCTTCCAACAACCCAAGAACTGTAATGACCATAACCCCCTTCTCAAACATGTATTTAGTACAGCTTTACTCATCTGTTGGAGGGAAACCCCCAGCCGTGGTACTATAGTCTCAGACTCACACAGCACGTTAAAAGGAATAATAATAATAATAATAATAATAATAATAATAATAATAATAATAATAATAATAATAATAATAATAATAATAATAATAATAATAATAATAATAATAATAATAATAATAATAATAATAATAATAATAATAATAATGACCCGACCCCTCTGGTTGGTGGGCTGAGGCGTAGTCGGGGTAAAATCGGCGTTGGGGGAAACCCGGAAAAAAAGACAGGCAGTGAACCATCAATTACAGTAGGCGAGGGCGAGAAAGGGGGGGTCGACTTACTGGCTCCCATAATGGAAGTATTTAGTTCACGATACTTCCTTGATATAGGATCAGTGGTCCGCTCCTTTGGAAGTTACCCTAACAATCCAAACAAAGCACGAGATACGTCACTAAATGACAACCCCTTGAACATCAACCTGAGATGCCCCGTAAAAGCTCATCTTAAGCCCTTGAACTAAAGAATGTTTGTCGTATTAGAGAGAATTGCGTTCTAACAACTTCGATTATGTGCGGAACCAGCTGCGGTCATCCATGCCTCTCGACAACAATGCTAGCCGCTCCAGCGCTCAACCTCCGTACCGCAGAGAAGATTTATTTAACCTCCAACCCTGCATCGTCTATACCAGTATCCTACTCACGAGGTCCCCAGAATCCTTGAAAGACCAGCCACAGAGAGAACTCGTTTTGAATTCGCCAACTGTTTCTGCTCGCGGGGTCCCTAAAGACCACACAGAATCAAGAATACGACTTATCTATCTACTAAACACTTCCAAACACTCCTCATCTCATCTGAAAGTTATCAATAATTCGACAATAGACCTCGAAATCGGCGACAGATCCAAAATTGAAGACTAGTAAAAGTTCAGATTTTATCAATTTGTAATGCTAAGTATTCTTCTCCAAGAATGACTGGACAAGCAAATTTAACGTTTGGTGACTGGCTGGAGGAAGATCACTTTTTCGCATGCTGGTCCTTTGTACTTCGCCGCGTCGCTCATTGAGATGCTTGACAAAGTTTATGATGTATTATTCACATGTACTTTCCAGTTCTTTTATGTTTTTGAAAAAGTAACAGGTAACCTTACTCTACTATCCTGAGGACTCTGTTGATTAAGATGCAGAGGACAGTGCTATAGCTTTCTTTTCTCGATTCCCTTCTTGGAAAGGTCTCGACTCATCTTCTCTGTATTTTCCGAGTGAGGACATAGTTGATGTTCATAGAACAACAGGAGTTAGTCCTTTTGAAGTTTCCAGTATACTAACTAATATCTCACTCAAAGGAACTTCTCACAGTAGACAAAAGATTTCACAGGAAGATCATTAATTTTCCTAATATTACAAAGCTCCCATGGATTATGGTGAGAGATGACACATCGAAGTGCAACTCATCCCCAACCCAAGTAGAAACCAAAGATCATCCCATTCAATTAAGAAAATATCAAAGAAATCGTCAAATCCTCCAATCATATCTCATAAAAGAAGCACAAATCTAGTGCTTATGAATATGCAACTTATCCTTAATCTTCTCCCCCAAGCTAACCTTCCCCTTCTCCCCACTACCACTCGACTCCTTGGACGTATGCGTATCCTTCAACGTTTGCGAGTTCTCGGTTGTCTTCTTCACAGCAGGTTCATGATGGACACCCTTCTCAGCAAGCAGTCCTGTTTCTGTATCGTTAGTACTGTCTTTTCCCGACTTTCGTCTCTCACAAGACAGGAGACACTTACTATCAGCTTCACGACCCGCACCAGGGTTGGCGGCATCGAAATCTCCTCCCTCGGCATTCATACCGGAGCTCTTGACGTATTTCTCGCCCGTTCCTTCGCCTTGGCTTTCGTGCGCTTTCAGGCTTTTCTTGATGGTGTCGGGCATGCCGCCTGGTGTTCCTTCTTCCTCGGTGTACTTTCCATTGCCGGTGTGGTATTCTGGGGCACCGCCGGTGTGCTTGGCTGATGTCTCGATGTCGCGCTTGGTGTCCTTGATGGCATCCTTTTGTGTAGATGAAAGGGTATCCTTAGGATTGAGCGAACCTTGCTCGATGTTTGAGGGGTGAGATGCGCTGGTATCGTGGGTTGGAGCAGGAGCAGCGCTGACGGATGGTGTTGGGCCAGTGCCTGCGGTGTCGTTTGAGGATGTTGGTTTGGTGGTGGATGTGGCTGATGTAGGTTGGTGTGCAGATGTGACTCCAGCTTTATCTGTTTCATGTTTTGGTCGCATAGGTTGTGTGGCTGGTGTATTGCCTGGGATTTCGGAGGTGTTTGTGGTAGGGGTTTTGGTATCTAGAGGATGGCTAGATGAAGAAGGGGTATGGGAGCCGCTGGTGTTGGTAAGTGCTGGGTTTGAGCCAGTTGTGCCGAGTTTCTTCGATCCATCGAGATCACTGTCGACACGAGGGTCTGCTTTGTTGGCTACATTGGACTGAAAAGTCAGCAAATACTCGAAATATCGGTGGTTGATAAACATACATCGTGAGGACCAGCAGTGGTGTTTGAAGCAACAGTGCTCGGAACCATTGGCTCAGGGATTGTTCTAGGAACCGAGCTGTTTTCTGTATCCAATTCTCGTCAGATCAAGCCACGAATATTCTGATTTGCAGCACTTACCCATGTTTCCCTTATCGTATGGCTCACCATGCTTCACATCACCAAGCTCCCCAGCAACTGGCTCCTGTCCTGAAGGTCTGGTTGTAGTAGTGGTGTTTAGATTGTCAGGATCTTGTCCCTCTCCCCAGATAGCTCGCGATGCGGCAGATGCGATGTTGTTTACTGTGTCCATATTGGATATCTTGAAGTTGTGTTTTGATTTGTGTTGATGTAGATTGAAAGTTGACTTGAGACGGAGGCAAATAAGCTGCTTGAGTACTTGATCTTATGTAGTTTGGCTCGATGATGTAATTGGGGCTGAAATGCACAAAACAGGCTAGAAATGTCAAAGCTTTACTCGAGTACTAGTAGTGAATTATTGATAACGCGGGGTAATTTCTTTGTTGAAACTTGTAGTGTAAAGTGATTGGAAGTAAGCCAACGAGCTGCGACTATCCTCTTATATCTTCACCCCTCCATCACCAGACCTGGTGAGACCAAGGCCACGGGTAATCTGACGTCTTCAACCATACCTAAAATCAAGCTTCACCAGATTCCAGAAGTAACCCTTCCACGTTTCGATCACACCAATACTTGATCTGTGATTCGTCTTTTTAGGGGTCCTTTCCGACTAACCGACCAGTGAAAACAAATCCCCTGCCAACTCCAGCGAACTCCCAACAGATAGATTAATCTAGAGACTTGGCCCAGAATAACTGGAAGGAATTTGTTCAGCTGATTATTGACAGAACCTACGTGTCAGTTTAAGAGGCAGTGGATATTTCAACTGCAAAAAAACTTGAGGTTCTTTTCGCCTGTTTGAACATTGACGACCAGGATGGAAACACATGACATCATCCATGATCCACCTCGTCATATTACCAGATGGCGGGGTAGGAAGCACAACCAACGTCATTCTTAAAATAGAAATACATGCACGTGATTTTGTCTGTAACCAGCCACAGCTCCAACATCTACTACCACAGTGAGGCTAGTAGGCTATGTAAGTTCAAGTACAATAAGATGAGTCTGGACTTTCGTCTCATCCATTTTTACAATCATGTCACGTGTAATTTTCTCTTGATACCCCACCTGCAGCCTCAGTCAACTTCTGGCTTGTGTTTTCATAATGCTTGTTTACTGCTGGAAAGAATCTCAGCTGTCAAAATTTCTGCACTGTTTCCGGCAAGTCAAGAAGTTCTCTAATACGACGAAGGCAGGCAAAGTTGAGAACCTGTCGCTAGTTCGCAATTTCCTGACGTTGTCTGCAGATTCTCTCATCAAGTGGTTAATAATATGCTTCTTTTATCCATAAGGATTATTGAACAGCTAATACAGAGTGAATTGGAAAAGTGGAACAAGGTCTTGGAGATTATTTCGAATAGAAGTTCCCGTCAGGTACTAAAGGAACATTCCACACAATCTCATGACTCCCTTGTAGAGTATTTCATATTCGCAAGCTAGTTGATCGGCCAATGTTGAAGCAAGAAATCTGATAACATCATAGAATATTGCATCTTGCTCTCTCATTACATGATCAAGAGTTACTTCGCTAACGCCAGCACTGGGTTGATCATTTAGATAAAGGGACGCTGAAAATAAATCAGTATCTAGATTCTAAGCAGATAATTCGTTTTCTTGTATGAGAAAGGCGTTCTATTTAGGGATGATATAATTATGTATAATGGGACCTCATTATGATATTACGTTATATAACGGAAAAAGTTCATTATTATATATTATTTATAACAGGGTGGCTCGGACGCTACTAGCCCCACTCCGGGGTATTTCCAGCTAATAGAGGTCTAAGTTTTTAAACGAGTTTTGCCTCGCTCTAAAAATGCTTCCTAATAAGGTAGAGTAAGCAAGAATACTAAGTAAGAAGTAGGAAAGAAAAAAAATGCTATTCTAACCCTAGAAATTCTCTCTATCTACCCTATTTCTAGTAAGATTTTTGGCTACTTTTTATCCTAAAAGTGGGGCTAATATAATTCAAAAAGCATATTATTATAGATTATATAATGTAATTTTGACCATCCCTAACTTAGTTCTAGTCAAAGTTGATGTCTTCTTCTCCGCCATTCATCCCAGACATCCCTCAAAACTCTGCTTATGTGAGCATGAGTGGTCCTTTGCCTCGTATTCATGCTGTGAGTCAAGGATACATGGTTTGTAAGTAGCAAATATTGGATCCCATCTTAAACCATGCCTCATCGGTGGAGTCCAGAACAAGCAGAAGCGTTCCATTCGCTGATAAACAAGAATATTACACTGGTCAAATGCTCACCTAGGTCTAGGAAGTCTCAAGTACTCGTCAGAGGCGTGAGAGTCAAAATTCTTGTTTCTGACAGCAAATCCATAGGAACAGCGAAAGGGTGGTCCGGTTATCGGAAAAGCTCGCCTTGAAGATCGGGAAGAATTCGATATCTCCAGGTTACAATAACTATACCATCCTGAACCGGATGCATTCTCTCGGAAATTTCCACATGTCGAAAGAACCTCCACAATCTTCAAGTGTGATCTGTGCGAGAAGTATTATAACAGATACAATTCCCTCGATATATAGAAAGTACAAACAAACAAACAAACGAGTGAGACTTCGATGGTTAGGCTGGAGGGTACGGTAAGGCCTTTGCTCAAAAGTATGATTTGAAACGCCATGAGATTATCCACAAAGGTAAAGCACCTAGTACAGAAGGGACACCTCAGACAATTGCCCGTTGATCTAGACGATCTCCGGGATAGGAAAATGAAGAAGAGTGATGGGATCTTGATAGTTTTGCCAGTATGAATTCTAGAGAAAATAAACAGACGATTGTCTTATCTCTCTGCTATACCTCATCTCCCGATGCTGACAAGGCAAAATTGGGTTCTCTTGGTCCAACGCGGAAGAAGAAAATATAAAGTAGGTGCGAATTACTATTCAATCCCACGCACCTTGAGGAGCTGAGCGATATGATTCGCTAAAAGAAAGGGGGGCTTGCCAAGAGCCCCTTTTTTAGAACAGGCGTATCCCAATCGGGACTAGTGCAAAATCAGACCTTCAGTCGGCCTTTGAAAGCTTGTCTCCCAATCCCAACTGACAGCTCGAATCATCACCACCAACGGGTCGCTCTTTTCTGTTCATTCGCGTTTTCCCGTTTTTCTCTGAACATAATTAATGCCTCTTTTTTGATTTCCAGATACCCAGGTGTGTTGCGGCGATTTGAGGCGAGGAAGAAACAATTGCGCGGCGCTCCACACCCAACAATTATCTAGTCATACAGATGATTGCCCATTAGCTTCGCACAACATATTACCATGGCAGACGCGGTTCGAGACTTCTCCGATGAAACGCCCGCATCGCCGACGCAAGACACTCTCTATGATGTCGAAGCTGCTGAATCAATTGCTATCAATACTGGCGGTGGAGATGGTAGGAGAGCTTCAGTTCGCTCAGAAAGGTCGGGCTCTAGAATCCATGCTTCCCCAAATCTCAAGCGTCGGCGGACTCGATCGAATACCGTCAATACATTTCAAACGATTGAAGAAGCTCGACCAAGCTGGCATCCAGGACAGGAGCCTGGTTTGGACCCCTCCAAGCCCAACGGTGGACGATCGCAGACCCCAACATTACACGAAGAATGCCAAATCACGATTGTAGACTTCAGCGAGGAGGACATGGTCATGTACGATTTCTACAAGAATGAAGACTTTCTAGTTTTCCTCGATAAGCCGCAGGAAAGCTGGGTTAAGTGCCGATGGATCAACGTGAATGGGCTTAGCTGGGATGTGATTCAAGCTTTGGGGAAGCACAAAAAGCTACACAGGCTCGCAATTGAGGATATGATCAATACCAATAACCGTACCAAAGCTGATTGGTGAGCGCCATTCTCTGGTACCAATTCTGTCATGTGGCTAACCTCATCCCAGGTATACTGATCATACATTTATTGTTTTGACCCTCCAAAAACTGGTTCATCTCCATCCTGAAGGCAGCGAAAGCGAATCCGAGTCAGAGGACGAGAGAAGTACAATTGGCAGGAAAAGAAAACGAAAGGGTTTCATAGGAGGCTTGGGGAAGCTCTTGACCGGATCGAAAGCAAAGGAGAAGTTGAGCGAGAAACAGAGAACGGCAGATTTAGTAGCCGGAGTGCACGATCCAAAGAATGGTTTTATAACAGCCCACACAAACGGGCAAGACGGTGCCCGGATGCAGAAACTTCGGACTCTTCAACGATACCACGGCGGTCCAAATCAAGAACGAATGGCCTTTATGGAGGCTCAATCCCCGTTGACCAGGAGGAAACTGGCTGTCAGCGCTGAGCAGGTCTCCATCTTTCTTACAGCCGGTAATACTTGTCCAGGTAATCTTTCAAGCACCACTAACGATTCTTCCAGATAATACTGTAATATCATTTTTCGAATCATCAGCTGATGATATCGAAATCCCTATAATACACCGACTTAGTACACCAGATACTCTTCTCAGGAAATCCTGTGACGCTTCTATGATCACACAAGCCATTATTGACGCTATCATCGATCTCGCTATTCCTGTATCCACCGCATATCAGGACGTTATAGGAGAGCTTGAATTAGATGTTTTGACCGAGCCGTCAATCAAACAAAGTAAAACCCTTTACGTTATCACATCAGAGATCACCATGATGAGGGCATTCGTTAGTCCCATTGTTAATCTAATAGACGCTCTTCGAGACCATAAAACTGGTGGATTTGGTCCTCAGCTTGGCATCAGAAGCAATTCACAAGGAGTGACTGCAGCGGTCAAAATAAGCCCAATGGCTCAGACCTATCTAGGTGACGGTAAGACAACCTACGCTGGCTTCACGTACACCTCCTAAAAACCCGTTGCACTTGAACGACCCGCTTGAAGCATTTATGCCGACGTTCCAGGATAATTGGCTTCAGTGCCTCTCTACTAGCCCAAATGTTTTGAGGCAATGAAGTTCATTGTTCCAGGACTTGTATCAGAATGAGATTTCTTCCATATTCTCATTTGCTTCAGGCTGTTTTACTAACATCAACCAGTTCTTGACCACTGCATGCTAATAACGGAGTCCCTTGATCAAATGCGACGATCATGCGACAACATGATTGATTTGATTTTCAACACCATTTCGGCCTATCAAAATGAGTCTATGAAGCAGCTCACGGTTGTCACAATAATTTTCCTTCCTTTGACATTCCTTACAGGTTATTTTGGAATGAACATTGAGGACTTTCCGGCAATTCAACACAGCGAGAGTTATTTCTGGACAATCGCTCTACCAGTAGCATTCGTTACAACTGTCTTCTTGATGAGAGATTTCTTGAGGTGGTGGTTCGTGAAAATCATTCAGAGGCGAGGTATTTCTAAAAGTCGAAAGCATCGATTAAACAGGGAGGCATTTGCCAAGAGGAATTCGTAATTTGACGATCTGGAGAAATAATATGGAGGCAAAACCAGGCTTTTGGGTTATCCCCACATCTTTATACTTGGCCTCAACACTCCATCATGCAGAGATCGAATGGGGTAGTGAAACCACAAAATAAAACCCTTGTTTGTTCCATGATATGTGAAAAGCATATTTTTCCAGAGGCTTGAAGTACTGGGCGATTTCTTGACTTTAGAGTTGTTGATCCATATATAGGGATGTCTTTGCAATTGACTTTTCGTCGAAGCAAGGTCATCCCAAGCAATCAGTCATCCGATCTTTCCAGATAAAGTTTATTGTGTACTTGTGCATTGGGCCGGCTCCGCATGCAATAAATTAGAAAGGAGGGGCCTGAAATATGGACACTGAACATGCGGGGATCCGCAGCAATCTTGGGATGAACTGGGCAGGGCTTATAAGAAATACATTCCCCTCGTGAGTCGTTTTCACACCCTACGGAGGACGTTCATACAATATTTACTTCTATAATATCGATGGGATGCCTTCAGGACGTTGTGCGCAAATATCCGGCGAAATCCTACGAGCCCTCCTGGATTAGGCCGCGAAGATGCATTTGGTTGCACACATTCGCGGTGATTTCCGCTGCCGTACTGGGGCTTGATTTCATCGGTGGCGCATCTGCAGCTGGAATATGTATGATCTCTCCCATTCCTCGCCCTTTTGCATCTTCGCTAATGCAGTATATTAGCGTGCTCACAGGAGAAGTACCTCCTTACCACGCAAGCCGAGCTTGACGAACTGAGCCGTTGCGTTAATGTGACCGGTTCCATCGTTTTCGAAAACTCCACCTTGTCGAGCATCGCCTTGAATGGCCTCCAAAAAGTGGATGGTAGCCTCAAGATACAGGCGAGCCCTGCCCTGAAAGAAATATCAGCGCCTGATTTATACTGGATCAATAATAATTTCACCCTCTCGGACCTTCCACTACTCTCGAACTTATCGCTTCCTGGCTTGGGAACTGTGGTCGAGGGACTGCAATGGATTGATTTGCCCAGCCTGGTGCGACCTACCCCCAGAACACACCAGCAGGATCCATTTGGACATACAGGCACGGAGATCTATGGGGGTATAACAGTATCCAACACTGGAATTGAAAGCCTGGACTTCTTCCATTTCGCAACGCTTGCTAAAGCGGATAATATCCGGATTTCTGATAATATCAACATGAATAAAGTCAACTTTTCCAGTCTTGAAAAGACTTATTCCCTTACCATTCGAAACAATGGACCGGCGGTACAGGTCGTACTACCCGCTCTTACAAGAGTCGACGGTGGATTGCAATTGTCTAATGTCGCCTCGGCCGACATTGGGAAACTGTCACGTATAGATGGAGGGTTGAAATTGGACGGGAATTCTTTCAGGAATTTCTCAGCGCCAGCGTTCACCAAACTCGGGGGAAATATGCAGGTTCTCAATAATCCTTCATTGGAGTCTATTGATCTGCCTTTACTCAAAGGGATCGGAGGGGGTCTTGAGAATGGCACCTTTACTGTTTCCAACAATTCAGCACTCCATTCTCTTTCCTTGCCGAATCTTGAGGACGTTGATGGAAATGTTACCCTGCAGGGGTTCTTTTCTAGGTAAATTTTCCCGCCAAATTGTTTGAAGGCGTATCTAACCAACATCTAGTATATCACTTCCCCTATTACAGGACTTTTCTTCAGGATTTCATGTCAACACCACTCTCCCACCCGATGCTTCAATTCAGAACTTCAACTGTTCCCCATTTGACAGAATTTTCTATTCATCCAACTTCGCTCACGATCTAACTTTGTATTCCTGCTACGGCTATGCCCATGGAGGAACACTTGACACGGCCACCCACGAGACGCCAGAAGAAGACGACGACTCGTCTGACCTTCCACATGGCGCCCTGTCAATCATCACCATTATTGTTGTGGTGACAGCACTTCTCGTGACTGGAGGATTGCTCCGGCACTTCAGATTAAAAGCCATGACACAGCAAGAACAGGTTCCACCTGTGGTATTGAGGGGGCTGAGTGTATCACGTCGACATTCTGAGGATGAAGACGGGCCTGATGGATTGCCGCGATATTCTAGATATGGGAAACCAGGCGAGGTTCCACCTGCATACAAACTGAGGTCAAACTCGAACCCACCACCTCCGAGCCCGTTAGCTCGGGTTCAGATGCCACAACAAGTTCCTCCTGTTTCTGACACGCAGAATGGGCCGGCTGTGACTTGGGGCCGACTTAGACAATTCCTTTTTGCGGGCAGGGGTAATGGTTCGAGTGGCGGGGCTGCACCTTCATCGTCATAATCTAGCATTTTAAGCCATAGAATAATAATATGTATTTGAACAAAACGCTTGACTTCCTTATATTTGTTAAGGCAAGAGGGTTGCCACTGACCAGTTCGGAGTCGCACCCCACAAGTTACTGAAATTGTATATCTCGGCCTCGATTTGACGCGAAACCAGCGAATCCGAGAATCTGATCTTCGGAGGTAGGCGTTATAGACTTTTCCCACATATCTGACAGGCAGCAGCATTGACTGGCCACCCGCTTCAAGTGGCTGGAGCTGCGATCGCGATCTACTCTTTGAGAAATAAGGATGAGCAGTCAATGCTAGATACTGCGAGGCAGATCATAATCGAAAGATCTCCGTATTTCATACCGGGCATAACGAAGGTTAAAGTTTAGTGGAGAGTTCGCCCTGTATTACGCTGAAATATCCCTTGTAAATCCACCAAGTCTCTAAGATTCGTTATGCATGGGAAGAAGTATATTTGCTAAATCCGAGTCTTTGATTTGCTCAATTCGCTGAAAACTGGAGCCGGGCGATCATAGACAGCTCGGGCCATCCCCCCTTGTCTATTTCCAATATATCTCCACATGAATTGATCAGTCCAATTGGCTTAGAAGGCTACTCCGTATATTGTGGAGTTATACCCTGCTTATCAAAAGTCGTATGCAAGAGGGAGGCAGGGGGAGGCGTGAGCTATCAACCCTACCTACGGGATATGGGTCTCAGTAAACAAAAGAAACGAGGTCAATAATACTCCGTAGTCCCGTAGGTAAATTTAAATCTATCTTGCATTCTTCCCGCTTCGTTCGAGGACTTGTGAATATTTCAAAAGCGCCGAGTGACCAGAAAAATCTTTCAACTACCTATAAACGGCTCATTGATAAAAAAAAATGAATAAAAAAAAATGAATGAAAAAAAATAGGCCAGACGCGAGATCTCCTGATCGCTTACCAAGGAAGGAAAACTTCAGACGGTTTCATGCCGCTTTTTCTAGGCAGGCATGTGGTTAATTTTACCAGACCCGTTTTTCTAAACTTCGGCCTCGCTAAATATAAAGGCTGGGCCCCGGGGATCTTTACGGAAAGACACTGGAGAAAATCTGGAGTCCCCAGGATATTGCCGTCAGAGGGAAAAGTTTCTGCAAAGAAGCCGTGGAAGGCGAATCTAAATCCTTGCTATGTAAAGGGTCTGGACAGCTCGCGTCTCCCCCTCCCCTGTATACGACTTGTTATAGGCAGGGTATAACTCCACAATATAGCCCTCTAAGCCAATTGAATTGTGCGATTCAAGTGGAGGTATATCAGAAAGTGACAANGGGGGGGGAGACCCGAGCTGTCCAGACCCTTTACCAGTTATGAGCGCAGATCAAAATAGGGTTGTATTTGATGACGACAGAGTAAAGGGGTAAACAGCTTAGAGTTGCACCTAGTACGAAGTACAAGTTAATGATTTGCATATCTCGGTCCCGGATTTCAATGAAATCAGCGAATTAGAGACTTGCGTTTTGCAATTATACCCTTTTTCACAATTGATTTGCGTTGCATGGAACACTCTTAGCTGACCATACTCTTTATGTTATACCGGCCAAGTCTTCATAACGCCCTCAGTAAGACACCTGGTCATTGCTCTGTACACGCTATCAAATGTTATTATACCAAAAGTCTGGCACAATTTAATTAATTGTCTTATTTAATCTAGGTAAAAGAGGAGTGAAAAGTATTAATTATTCTATACTATTTGTATAATTGATTTAGTTGTTTAACGTCTTTGGGATAATATTTTTATAACTCAGGGGTGTACAGAGTAATGCCCGCCTCTCTTACAGGAAGCTGTACACTCAGTTGTTCACAATGCGTCTCTATGTCCCGGAGATGGGTCGGATGAAGATTCGGAATATAATAGCCATAAAGGTTTGTAGTATGGTCATGGTGAGAATGATGATATGGTTGGAAAGTTGGGGGAGGCTGAGGAACTATCGTGGTAAGTCGTTCCGAAGGAGAGTAGTGGATAGCGCTAAGTGCCAGAGTGGATAGAGACAAGGGATGTCGCCTACCGACATCATGTCGGTAGACTCTAAGTGGCTAGAAGTCTCCTTCTTATGCGTAGAAGATTGCGATGAGCGGCAGCTTCTCGTGGTGGGACAATCCCGCCCTAGAAATCTCAGAAAGCTGTTCTCCAAATGTCTTGAAAGGGAGTCTTGACTCTAGCTAACTTTTGCTACTCCACTACTTTCCCCCAACAACCAGCACTCTCTTCAAAAATGCCAATTTACCACGGTAGCTGAAGATCCAATGGGTGTGGATGAGTCCGAAGATGTTAAGGTGGTACCGGAATTCCGAGAGATAAAACTCGGCGATGCCTAATACTTCAAAGTAAGATATCATGAGAGATCTCTCGATGAACCAGCGGATTTCGATGAGCCTACCAAGCAGCAAGCTATGCAATGTCCATCTCCTAGAAGTACAATCAGTACCCAGTCATATACGTCACAGGACCCTGAATTAATAAACCTTAATTCTTTTAAGCTTTGCCAGTACCGAAAAACCTTGATACTACTTCGAATTACGAAGTACGAGGTAGGATATACGAAGTCGGTTTTGCCAGTATTCTCAAGGATCTTAGTATAGGCGGCGATAAGGTCGTAGATTTAAATAATAGTAGTAAGTGGACAACATAGTTATCTAGTAATACATATAGCATTAGTACTCTCTATCTAACCTTGTAATTCTTGTTCGCAAGTTCAAGTTTAGTACCTAAAGTTTTCGGGTCTTATAATTTGGTAAAATCGCCTAGTGGATGGATTGATTGACTGGTTGTTTGTAACTATCTAGACGAAACCCCATAGTTCAAATCATTTACTGAAACGGAGAACACCTTTGGCCACCATGCTCACATCTCCATCCAGCCTGTCGTTGCCCTCGACCCCCGCTTAAGTAATAGCCATTTCTCTGCAGATATATTTCTGTATTTAAAGTTAGGTAAAATGCCACATGCTTGAATAGATGAGTCTTAGCAGAAAAAGTCATTATCCGTGTGGATTGGGAAGTGACCATACACGCACTGCGTATCGGGTGAGAGAAGCACTTTACTTATTCAAAAGACTTGACGCTGGTAGAATTGGGGAAACCCTCAAGGCCAAGATCTCCAATCTGCCAATGTCTACAACATTCTCGAGCACTTTCAAATCCCCCTTCCCTACGCCAGAGGACACTCTGTTCAGTTTTGCTGCCTACCAAAACTGTCTCAAAATATCCCAGCCCGGGATTGAATACTTCGCTAAGTTGAGGACTTTAAGGCTCCTGGCTGTTACTCTCAAGAACTTAGTTCTTGTCATCGCAACGTCCACACGTCGTCTGTCCTTCAAAAATCCTACATCCCACACCGCGTTCAAAGAGGTTACCATGTTGACCACCATGTAGTCAGATTCTTCTCCTTGACAGAAACTGCTATATTAAGTTTCCCAAAGAGCGCGCTGTAGATTCCAAGGCATTAGCGATTGTAGTAACAATGATTCTCACCCGCGCCACCTGATACCTCGCTGCCAGCTCCTCCGTAATCTTCGTTGCCCACCCAAGTTTCGCTGCTGTTTTTGGACGAGTTGCCAGTGACGACGATTTATCTTCTTCCTCTTTGAACAAGCCTGACTCAAAAGCTAGGTCCACTGTTCTCAGGACACCTCCTACGGCTGCAACGTCTCCACAACTGGCAGCCGGTAAATCGACTCCCCCCCGCTTCGCCTAATTGGTGGTCCGTGCCAGATGCGTAATGTAACCGTGTGGAGTGAACCACTGCTTGCTGTGATGAATACGGAGTCAAACGGAAACTGCTGTATTGAGCGAACAACTAAGTGAGGAGAGAAGAGAGTTCCAGAGGAACGGAAGCTTAAATACAGGATGCCAGCGGCACGCACGTGCTGTGCTACACGTGACCAGACCCCAGTCCCTCCAACTCCGTAACACATTACGTTTAAAGTCTACTTACTATAAAATGCGAAATCAAACCTATATATAATTAGGTACTAGGAGACTCTGGTAGTTATACTGTATTAGATAGGATAAGATATAGGATTAATAGGAATAGCTTTCAAGTTAAGTATAAATATATATATACGCAGGATAACAAGAAGCGAAGCACTAAAAGCTAGGATCAGACGACTAGACCCTGCCCACCCGCTGAAACGATGTGTTAATAACCCTAGCTCGAAAGCTAGGCTCATTTACCGCTCTCACAGAGCCCTCCCTCCCTCTGAAGAGATTGACCCCATTCAAGACCCTCCGTGGAATAGAGGGTTCAACCGACAAGCCCGCCTACTGGAGGTAGCGGGACCTGACCCTGGTGGAGACAAGAGCTCTTTTAAGGCCAAATTCCTTGACTTCCTAGCTACTGCCCCACCTACCGACCTAGTTGTGTTTACCGACGGCTCCCGCCTGGACGACAAAAGTACTGGTGGTGGCGTATGTCTTACAAGACCTACCGACCTAGTTGTGTTTACCGACGGCTCCCGCCTGGACGACAAAAGTACTGGTGGTGGCGTATGTCTTACAAGAGGAGGGGCTATTCTGGACACTAAGATCTTTTCCTTTGGCAAGGCGTTAGAGATATATGATGCAGAGGCTAGAGCTGCTTTACATGGCCTAGAACTAGCCCTAGAATACCCTTTCTGGTCTTTGGCTAGAAAGTGCTGGATCTGCCTCGACAACCTTGAAGCTACACTACAGTTAACCTACCGGTCCTGTGGCACCTTGCAAGAAACCTTTAACAAGGTCAACGAATTAACTCAATCTTACACTGGGAAAATACGAACAAGGTGGTGCCCTAGCCACATAGGTATCCTAGGCAATGAGATTGCGGATAAAGCTGCAGGGAAAGCGCTGCGGACACCCCCCTCTGGTCCCCTCCCTCTACTCTGTACGGCCACGCTTCAGAGAGAGGTAAAGGAGCTAGGGATCAGGCTAGCAAGAAACCTCTGAAATACTACACTCCCAGCTCTATATAAGGACCTAGGCCTCTGTACCTGGTTCTTGAAGCCCAAGTCTCTCCAGTTACCAAGAGAGGTCCTCGCTCGCTTAATCGCTGCTCGTTCTGGACACGGAGACTTTACTGCCTACCATCTTCGCTTCTTTCACTTCAACGCGCTACTCAATTCAGGGAACTGTAAGTGTAGGGAGGCCAAGACCCAGTTCCACCTACTCTTTTGCAAGCTAGCAAACAACAAAGCCCCTAAGCTATTAGCAAAGGCTGAGAAGAACCCTCAACTGCTCTTTGGATCTCACTGCGAGGAGCTATTTAGCCAGGTCTACTTTAAGACCGGATTCTACACTAAAATCTGTCTCTCTAGATAGACAGGCCTTCTTTTATTTCTCTTTTCTTTTTTTCCTTTTATTAAATATCTCCTTTGTTGTTACCCTGGTTCTAGAACTAATTAAGGATAAGAGCTGTTCCGAAAGTGGAACTTCTCTCTAAACAGTCTCTTGTAAATTAGATCTTTCCGTTTATACCCCCTGTAGCCTAGGGCACCCTCCTAGCGTCATTTGCCCTATTTTGGGACTCTTTAGGACCTAGCCCACGCGAGCTAGAATCCGCTTGACGTTAAATAGAAATAGATAAATAAATATATATATATACGTAGGTAAAAAAATGGTATATTGCCCTACTACTAGCTAGAAAAAAACCTACTTCCCTAAAATAGAACCATATTTACTAGTTAGGAATGGTGAATTTCCTAGAAAATTAGGCGAGAGAGGTAGGGAGTCGATCTACCGGGACCCTTCACAACTATCCATTCTTTTCAGCTGCCCCAGCCAGTAATGGACCGAGTGGCCGTATCTTTATTCTGGGGTCTCAAATTGATTTTCATCCGTCGCTGGTCCATTAGCCGAGGCCTCAGAAATGCTATATGTGATACGGCGCTTAATCGAGAAAGGTTCTGGTTCTTTGAATTTCTCTTGTATAGCCTGGAGAAAGCCCTTGGGGATTTGGTAATGACTCCCGCTGAGTTTTACCTTTGGTGAATTCCGGCACCCATGTCTCCGACCTCCTGGTCCTGTGCTCATTGGACATATGTTACTAATGTCTCATCGTATCCCATAGATACCAGCTTTCTTCCGATTTCTTCTGACAGCTTCTCTGTCACTGAGCGACCCTCTGCTATCACCATCAACTTGCTTCCAGGTACAAGGAGTCTAGCTGCCACGACTTTGATCATGACCTAAGGCTTACTAGTCCTAGGTGGGCCCTCAACAAGCGTACCCTTTTTTTCATGATCGAGTGCAAAGCTTCACTTTGATCCTTACTCAACTTCTGTGAGTCGTTGGTAGATGACGTCCATACATTGTCTGGTGGCAGGCCGTTTAATTGTGATGGGACTGGTTCGTGGTTATGATTCCCAAGTAAGTGTCTTCTCCAATAGTTCCCCTTGTTGACCCCAAGGGCTCTACTTGATACTTCCGTACATAAGGGCAGTGGTATACTTAAGAATATCTGGAGTCGCCTCAAAATTGAACGTAAGGTACGTCCATTCTCCTGGCCTAGACCAGTCAAGATCCAAGCCAGGGATATGGCTACAGGCTTGCCGGCAGTTGGTCCACGAACAATCGCCGCCACGTTCACGCCCCTTCACAGCTTTGCGGGTGGTGGAAATGGTATGGTGTCTCCAGTCCAACTTGGGCTGAACTCCACACCAGAAGCATTTAGTCTGTCTTCAGTTCTAGGTTCCCCTTGAAGGGCCATCTCCACTTTCAAAAAGCTTCCTGGACGTGGCTAGATGTTTTTCTCTTCATCTGCCAGCAGGCAAGTGTCAGCTTGAGAATCGATAATAAAGAGAACTAGCGTTTGACTGCTCTGACTGCTTCCAGTGACGACCCCACCAAGAGGAAACACGTGTATGCGTCTCCATCCGTTAAACATTCTATAATGCTCATATTTCTGAAAGTTCTCTTCAATTACTCGCGATTGGAATACGCACGCCATGTAATCCCGTGAGTCTCTGAACATGGACTTGGGCTTCAGCTTTTCGCAAGGAATAAGGTGTGAGGCCTCTTCTCTCTCGTTGATGTCAATGGGAATGGGCCCATAAATCCAATCGTTCAGCCGGATCCGATTAAGAACGAGCTCCCGGTTCATTCTAAATGGGGGCTGTGTGAGACGGCACCCCCAAAGGGAGCACCGTAAGGATACAAGACCCCCGACTGGGAATCTGCATGACTGAGCAGCCAACGAGGCACATTGTTCAAGTGGTCAAATTGTTTTTCCAACCATTATGTGTAATTGAACACGACCATTACCTCTAATTCGTCTTGACGTACGGATTCAAATGGGAACACCTCCTTGACCTTGTATTGGGATTGCCCTGTTCGTCCTTGTCGTATGCGCAGAGGTCTGTTTTCTTGCGATTTTTCTTCATGTTTGCGAATGCTTTGATTGCATCTTTGGCAATGGCCTTCTCCTCAACCGAAAGTTTGTTTGACTTATCAATCAGATCGCAATATGAAGAGGTTGCTTCAAAACGAAAACATATCGGTTTGACAGATTTCCATTTGACAAGAGAATAGATCCCTGGCGTCAAATAAACGCTATCAGGAAGACCTGCGGCACGGGCCTCTTCTCGGGTCAAGAAGTTTGTCCATTGTACATCGTACAACCTTTGGAAAAGTTGCCATCTGATGATTTACTCCAGTTCGTGACTTCGTCTAGCTCTTTCTTCAGCACAGCGTATTTTGTGAGAACTGTACCTGCAGGAGGATCTGTGCCGCCATATTCTCCTTGTAGAGAGTTTCCATTGACCGAGGGTTCCAATGAAGGTGTCATCCTAAGGCGAAGGTCGGATGCCGGATTGTCGTTGCCTTCGGTGATATTGAAAAGGAGGCGAATTCCAGCGCATGGCTGTATCTTTATTGTAACTCCATTTTGTTTTGCGAGGATGAGGTGGACATTCTGGTTCTATTCACTATATGATTTTATCTCCTGCGGAAAAGGGGAAAAGCAGGTGGTCTCAATGTACCAACTCACTAGAATAACCTTGAATCATTTCATAAATCAAGATTTCAACAACATTCTCAGTTACGAGTATTAATCCAAAGATTCAGGTCACTTTCATGGCTTGATCTCAAAGAATATAACAACGAAAGAGAGAAACGCTGCCACTTTTCTTATTTATTGCCGAGTTACTTACTGTTTCCGTGCTCATGACAGCAGTGTCAGTATCTTTGGGCCTTCTTACCGCCGAAAGCCATGATCGTCACTGAATTGGGAAGCAATAAGAACTTTTCGTGGTTCTCTGTAGGATCCGTGGCATACCCCCATAAAGGCAAACTCCAAGGTGACAAGATGAAAAATCGAGTGGTGCGTGGAATTAACGCCAATACCTGCAAGGTACGGCACTCTACTACTAAACCAGATAACTAAATCGTAAATCGTAAATCGTGAATTAGCTTAGGGTTAGGGTTATATGACAGCGCCGGTATTAAAAAATAATGCTATTTACAGAGAATTAAACAAGGACAAGGGACAGGATTATAGTATAAACTTAAATCAAAGATATATAATCCTCGTAAGTCGCTAAACGCTTATACCCCAATACCCCCACACCCCTACCCTCGCTTAAACTTCATAGCCTTGAAATTTTCGCGTGTACACTCGCTACCCTCGCTGTCGTACCCTCGCTATCGTATAAAGGGTTACGCCCTAGTATTTTATTTAAGAGAGAGAGAGAGAGAGAGAGAGAGTAGCGGAGAGGACAGAAGCGGGAAATGTTTTCGTATATGTCTCTTATCCTAGCCTCGAATACCACCTTCCTAAAATAGCTAGGCTAGTACGTGTTACGCTAACAATTATTTACTACCTACCTTTCCTCGCTCTCCCTCCTACTTACTCATCTCTTTCTTTACAATAACGATAGCGATAACGATAGCAATAACGATAGCGATAATAATAGTAATAACAATAGTAATAACGATTAATAACAGTAATAATAATAATAAGAGGGGATATAGGTATATTTATTAGCTAGGAGACCCTTGTTAGGGGGGGCGGGTGTAACGAATACTCAAACTGGCTAACTAAACTTGGCTGGGTGTTCGCTGGTTGGTATGCTATGATAAGAAGAAGACTATCGGGTTGTTCACTTGGAAGTGAACTCGTTACTTGTATCAAAGATGTCAAACTGATATGATAA